GTAACTCAGTAGTGTCCCAAATTTTCTGATCAAGGAGATTATGGGGCCAAAGAGGAAAGTGATCGATGATGTAGAGTGTGCCTAAGGCGAGTCACATGGAGAGAAATGAGTCACACTCATCCACATGGCTGATACTGACAAAGGATCTACAAAGTGCGGTACAGGGTTTCAGGATAAATCCTGAAGAGATTTGACTGAACGTATGAGATACAAAAGTTACATTTTTTGTTATGGAGGTCTTGCTTTATCTTGGTCTTAACATTCCAGCAGAAAAGTATAAAGATGAACTATAAAAAGTAAAGCCATATTAATATGCTGAGCTGTAAAAGGCTCAAGTCAACAACTTCTGACATTGCCAGTCTTACAGAAAACCTACTACTATTATGGACTACTGGACTATATTGGAATATTTTGCTGAATTCATGCACCTATAATATTTAAATGACAATGGAATACCCTTCTCTGACAAAACTGAACAAAAAAGGGGATACAAATGATATCTGTATTTTGTGTCTGTATATACAAGATAGTTAGTACAGATATACAGCTATATTCTCTTAATTCAATGGATAGAAAGATTTCTTCTAAGAGTGTTTGTGGACATGATATCATGTCTGCATCTTGTACAATGAATAACCACTAAGACAGCCATATGCAATGTATTAATTATTGAAACTGTCTTACTAATCGGTTTTGAAACTGTCTCATTGCTACTTGTTTCTCAATAAAATCATTAAAAAAGTACCAGCCCATTAACCTTTCTTAATACAAGAATCCTGCACTGAAAGTATACAATAATGTATATATAAGTGTGTGTATGTATATGTATATATATGGCTTTAACATTGTTTACTTTCATTAGTGTAATCTGAATCCCTAATAAAGAATTCTTTTTCTGAAAAAAAAAAAAAAGATACTGAGATAAAGTGAGCATGGAGCTGGCATAGAGACAGACCTGAGGATCAGCGGAACAGACTGGAAGATCCAGACACAGCTACACACCCACCCAGCCACCTGATCTTTGATAAAGGAGCCATATGTTCTCTGGAAGAAAGATAGCCTCTTTAATCATTGACGCTGGAAAAACTGGCTTTCCACATGCTGAAGGCTAACACTAGAGCCGCGCCTATCACCATGCAGACAACTGCAGTAAAATGGGTCAATTATTTAAATGTTAAAACAGTAACATTAAATCTTCTGAAGGAAAATGTAGGTAGAAATCTTAAGTATAGGGGTAGGTAGAGAGTTCATGAATACAAACCAAGCTGCATAGGAAATGTTTGAAAGAACCAACAACTTGAATCTCATCTTTTTTGAAAAGTTTCTGCACTTCAAAGGAAATCTCCAAAAGGGTAAAAAGATAACCCACACACTGGGGAAAAGTGTGTAAGCAGGGCAAAGTGGTCAGCTGTACTGTGGATTTTTGCTGGTCTATGAAAAGGAACAGATAATACTTAATTTGTTTTGTCTCTTGTTTTCAAATGTTTGTACTTTTTCTCTTAACTTTTTTTTTTTTTTTTTTTTTTGGTACTGGGGATTGAACTCATGATCTTGTGCTTGCCAGGCAGGCACTGACGCCACTGAGCTATCTCCCCAGCCCTCTTCTTAACTTTTTGTTGTCTTTCTTCTTCCAATCCTGTACTCATAATCTGGCACCCTAATAACGGGTCGGAAGGCAACACTGCATTACTACACATACTGTGGAATTCCTACTTCTTTGTTAAGTGAAATTCTGCACTGCTTGCAATTTTTTTCTATTTAGAACTTCTTTGTACTCTGTTAAAAGAAAAAAATGGGCAATATATTGTGAGGTTGTCCTCCTGTCCTGTTGCTTTTTTTATTGTTACATATTAGGTACAGGTTCTCACTATGCAGCTCAGACGCCTAGTGATTCTCCTGTTTTTAGCCTCCCCAGAGCTGGGATTACAGGCACGTGCCACCACACCTGGTCTCAGTGGCCTGCTCAGAGCACCGGGGGCAGGGCCAACATGGCATGAGGTACCAGGGATCAAACCCAGGTCCTTGCACTTGCCAGGAAGGTGATTAGACAGTTGAGCTATCTCTCTGGCCCTCTGTTTCTAATTTTAACGGAATGCAGTTGAAATACAGAATAGCCACATTCATCACAGGGAATTTGTAACTGTACATAATATTTCTTTCTCCTTTTTTGCAAGTAAAATTTTATTGGGGCTTGTAACAGATTCAGAAGCTGGGCCCAGTGGCCCATGCTTGTGACTTCAACTACTTAGAAGGCCAAGGCAAGAAGACTGGAAGTTCCATGCTAGCCTAGGCAAGTCAGTGAGACCCTATCTCACAAATTTAAAAGCTGGGCAGTAGCTCAGTGGTAAAGCACTTCCGTAGCACGTACAAGGCTCTGGGTTCACACCAGGACTTTAAAAAAAGTAATTTCTATTACAGACTTGCTCAGTTTTTTTACTACTAAAATAAGTAGCAAGTCAGAAGACAATTCCCTGATACTTCCTGGAGCCCACACAGCCAGAACTCCGCCACGTATGTCTGGTGCAGCCCAGCCTCAAGCTGCAGAGGGGCCCTGCGGGTCTCTAGTGCAGGACAGCTCTGAGAACCAAAATTGGAATGCCACCGAGTGTTCAAAGGGCCCGGTGCAGGGGTCGTGGTGGTGCCAGGTCCACTGACACAGCTCCCCCGGGGCCTCCGCGCTGCCCCAAGGATGGCAGCCTCAGACAGTGAGCAGATTTCCTCATAGTCATCCTCGATGCTTCTGGAAGCGTCGACCACCTTCCAGTTCAAAGTCGGGTCCCTCAGGAGCTGCTGGAAGCTGCACAGGGCCCGCTCCTCGAGGGTCTCCTCCTGGTACCGCTCACGGCCAAACTCTCCCCATGTGGGGGCATCTGCCAGTTGTAGCTGGAGGAACAGGATCGGATCAGGCTTCGGCAGCCCCCCATCCGGCTGCTTGCACCAATCTAGGGAAACATTCTCGCTGGCATTTGTGAAGGCAACATCCAAACACGCGTATCTGTCCACAACAGGGTCACACCTTGGCCCAACTTCTCCTCAATTAATGGCACTTGTTCCCAGCAGCTGGCAGAAAAAAGCAGATGCGCTGAGTGAGCCTCCAATTCACTTTTCTTTTCCAAGTAGAAACTGAGAAGTTTGTCAGTTTCCGTTGATCTTTCAGGAAAGCTCAGCAGCTGAGCGCAGTGGCCAGCGGCACCCGGGGCGGACACCAACTGGCGGCTTTGCGTACCCTTCCCTGCGCGGCCCACACCCTCCAACACTGTGAGCGCACCCCGCCTGCCCGCCATGGCTCCCGCAATACGTGCGGGCACCGTTACATAATATTTCTTGACTCTTCTTTTTTAACCCCATTTTCCACCCCTACATACACCTTTCTTCCATTCCCTATTTACAGATAATTTTCTTCCATATTTTTCCTTCTAGTATCTTTTTTCCCCTTTTTCATTCCTTCCTTATACTCTCTCCCTTCCTTGAATACACAAGAAACAAAATAGATGATAGATATTTGTATGAAGGAAGAAAAAATACTGTTATTTTTTGTTTTCAAAACTGTAGGAAGTAGATGATTTGCCATTCCATGTTTATTTGAGAAGAAAAGTAACAAGGCAGGGCTTCACTGTCAGTGCAGAGGCACAGAGGAGGTGTATGCTGAGCAGAGAGGCCAGCAGGGAGGGAAGGGAAGGCCCTGGAGTTGGCTGGGGCTGCCAAGTGTGGCCCAGGCGCTGAGGCAGCCATGAGGGAGACCCCGTTCTGTATGGTCTTGAGTACCAGGAGAGCCTCGCTCTGTAGGACAATAAGAAACAAGCAGGATCCTGTCACAACGTGGAGAAGATCTGGAGAAGCAGCGACACAGGTCCTTCCTACAGGGATGTCACCACCTCCTTAGCTCAGGAGTCCTGCAGGGACAGAGGACAGCAGTTTCCAGACCTCGCTCTGAATCAAGCTTCTCTCCCCTCTCAGGTCCTTTCAGTGTAGTATTTCAATAGGCAAAGTGAAACACTCTCAGTCTTCCTGAGCCAATGCTACTGCAGAGTGCAGGGTTTTATTAAGGAGAGCACGGTAGCCATACTGTAAACTGCCTGACCAGAAATCTGCACCTAATGTTTTCACAGTGTCTCTCTTTCGTGTCTCCTCACATCTACGACCCCAGGTAGGGAGAGCAAATCTGTCTGTGAGAGAAGATTCAAGGACCTTACCTGATGGTTGAACTCCAGAGTGTCCTGAAAAAGAGGAGAAATAGAGCTTTGAAAGTCAAGAAGGAAAACCTCTCCCCAAAACAGTGTCCCCAGGGTCAGATCTGCCACCTGAGACTTCTCTGACAGTGGAGGCCCTGCCAGCCATGGCAAAGAGGGGAGCACACACTGAAAGAATTTGACTGAGGAAGGATCTCCTTCATAAATATCAAGTTCAATGGCTCATTGTTACCTAACTATTGATCTCCATTCACTGTTTGGAAGCTCCTTAACTTTTCTCTGTCCTAGGCTGGCCATAGCTATTTGGTTTCCACAAAAGGCCCATCAACAATTGATTTCAGAAGGCTCAGAAAATGTGAGGCATCCTGAGGAAAGAATGGTTTCATATAGAGATACCAACATTGAGAACGATCCTGAGTGAGACACTATTTCTTCCCTCAGAAAAGGATGCGTAGTCTTAGCCAGCAGGAGGCCTCTCACCCTTCTGGTTCCTGGAGTAGACGAACAGCCCGGACCCGAGGAAGAGCAGCCCCAGCACAAAGCCCCCGACTCCACTCAGCGTCTTGCTCTGTGCAGATCCTGACTGGGCCCCTGAGGAAAGACGCCAGGCTTAGGGATTGTTTTGAACTCCAAATCAAGTTTTCTCACTGAGAACATTAAGACTAGAGAAATGATGCCTGCACTGAAAAGCTAGAAATGGTCATTATTGGGACAAATGATTGAAGGATCACAGTGAGTCAGTGTGAGGCTCATGCACTGAATTCACTGAAATCCCCCAGCCCTGCGGTGTCCCCAGATTGCAGCGTCTGGAGCTCAGTGAGGCTGACTAGCCATCTGGGATGACGGAGCTCATAACAGGCAGACTTGAGAGTGGACTTCCCTGCCATCAGGAAGACACTGCAGGGTCTCCTCCTCCTCCCAGACTCAGTGAGCAGCACAGAGCGATGACCTCAGAAACACAGAGTGAGCCAGAGGCAGGGTGTGGAGATCAGGCCAAGGCATGACTATGACCTGTGATAGCGCGAGAACGTTCAAAACAGGGACACTTCTTGTCTCCATGACAGGCATGGAGAAAGCTATCAAGGGTGCATACGTGTGTGTAGAAATTCTCCCAGTTCTGCCCGCATAAATATTTCTGAAGGACAGAAGAAAATGGAATAAATACAAATACTGTACAGCAAGGAGAAAATTCATCCTTAGGAATAAGGGAAGAGCCCTTATGGGTGGAAGGGGAATGTCTGAGGTAGGGGTTCCCCACTCACTCCACTCCACGGTGACAGGGCTGCTCCAGCTCGGGTGCTCCACCTGGCAGGCATAGACCTCTCCGCTCTGAGGAACAGTTTCCAGCATGACCAGGGTCTGGAAGGTCCAGTCTCCATTCTGGATCAGGCCTGTGGACACCACCCCAGCCGCCTCCTCCTGGCCGTTCCGGAACCATCTGACTTCAACATGGCCTGGGTAGAAGCCGCTCACAGAGCAGACCAGGAGGTTGTGGTGGGGCAGGGGCTGGGTCTTTGTGGGGTACACGGTTACCTTGGGCTGAACTAGGGGGGAAAGGCAGAGAGAACAAGTCAGAAAGGCAGAGCATCTCGTGCCTGGTCGCCTCTGTATCCCTCTCTCAAGAGACTCAGGCCCTTCCTGGCTTCCTCCCATCTGTCTGGGGCTCCATGGAACCTCTGGCAGTAGCCTGTAAGTTAATCCTCATAGGAGGAACACAGAGATTTGAGGGGAAAAGAATTCCATTCTTCATATCTTGACACGAGCTTCCATTGCTGAATAAAGTGTTTTCAAATCTTTCCAAAGCAAATGAAGTGTTAAGTGAAAGTGTGATTTTGGGAGACAGTTTGATTTGGTCAATTGCAGGCCCTCCCACTCTCTGGCCTCTCCTGAAGAAGATTTTATGTTTCCTTGTGCCTCCCTTGTATGGGATAGGGATACTGATTGACCAATTCAGTTATCTCAGAATTAAACCCACTAGAACACATAAGGCATAGGCCAGAATTTAGCCATTAAGGTATTATATTTGTTTATTATTCTCCTGTTTGCTATATGAGAATCAAAGTCATAGCAACAAAACTAGGAGAGAGCAGTGGAGAAGGAAGGGGTGGAGCAGGGAATTCTGGGAACGCTTTCACCACAGGGTCACGCTTCTGGGCCAAGAAGGGCTGCCCACTGGGAAGTGGGGACAGAGACGTGACTCCCAAAGGCTGAGAACTGGGTCCCGGTAACTCAGCAGTCCTGAGCGAAGGAAACATAGCAAGGGAAGTCAATCTTTTAGAAAGATCTGCCTCTTTCCCTGACCTGAGGAATTTTCTCCCTTTCCAAACCCACGTAGATGCTGTTAGCAGGCTTTATCTGTCTCACTTTCTGAACAGACCTTTGTAGTCAAAGCAGGGTCTGGGACTTACTAATAGGTGTGCCTCAGGCCTGTACCAGTCCTGCACCAGGCCAGCCTCACTAAACGTATTGCTCCAAAAGGGCACATTTTACCAGAAAATGACAGATGTGAGATTGCAAGTGAACCATTACCAACAATGCTGCATCATATTTTACAAAGTGAAATGCTTAATGAAATATAAACCAGAAAATGAAGGATATCCTGAATAAAATAGCAAGGAGGGATTAAGAATATTTCTCCAGAAAGAGCCCATATGATCACTTTGAGAGCAGTAGAGTCCAGAAAGAAATAGGTAACTTTTAGAGTGGTGGCAATTGCTAGTAAGTGTGCAAAAATTTCACAAGTCTTTGAAGTCAAAATCTTAAAGTAAAAAAAAAAAAAATGTCTATTGTTTCTAATGTCTTATTGAAAGGAAGAGTTAATGTTTAGTTGTTTAATCAGTGCCGCATGCCTAACTCTGGTAATCCAAGCAACAAACTTGCTAACAGTGTGTAGCATTCCAACCACTGTTAATTTTCTAGTCTTGTTTTGACATACTGTACCATTTTTGTTTTATGTTGCTTTGCTGTTATCTTTGTCCTTGTTATTTGATTTTTTCTTTAATTTAAAAAAAAATTACTCCGCAAAAAACCCAAAACACAAAAAATAAATAAATAAATAAATTATAAAAAAAAGAAAAATTAAAAGCATATTGTTTAAAGTACAGTTGGGCCTCTATATCTGAGGGTTACCAATTGGAGAATTCATCCATCTGTGTAGCAAAAATACTGAAAATCTATGGTTGTACAAAACATACTTTTTTCTTGTCATTGTTCTCTGTACAATATAATAATTATGTAGACAGCTCAGTATCTGGTATTATAAGGAATTTAAACATGATTTCAAACACAAAGGAGGATATACATAAATTACATACAAATATCACACCATTTTACATAACATGGTGGAATATTTTTTCAGATTTCAATATTCAAGGAAACAGCCTCCCCACAGAGCACACTAAGGGAGAACTAAATCTGTCACTATTTTCAAAGTCTCACCATGTGGAATCACAGGTTGAGTTACAACTGCAGAAAGCAACAATGCCCAACCACCTCAGGGTTATTAGAGTACACAACCAGCCACATCAGTGTGTTAAGTAACACAATTAGGATCAGAAGCCACTTTAGCCATTTGTTCCGTAACCTAAAGGGGTGTGCACCAAGCAGGCAAACTAACCAGCCAGAAGCAGCAGGAGGTTGAGGCCTAAAGGAGGCCTTAGCAAAGGGCCCAGGTGCCTGTCCCTGTCCCTGTCCTCCCGCCTCCTTATTCTGACTCCTCTGTTCCCCGAAATGCGGTGCACACACAGCACACTTGTGTCTCCTGCGCTTCACCGTGACGAGGGCTGCAAGTCATAACTTGCAGGGGCAGTGTGGAAGCAGCCTCCACAGGGCCTCCCGCTGAGACCCCGTCCTCCTGCACCTTCCGCCCAACCAAAGATGTTTCCTGCGTCGTGCTCTGTGCTCTGCGTCTCAGCCTTTCCCCGTCCCTGCTCCCTTCCCCATCAGGCTGGGCACAGTCTCCTCCCCTTCTCTTCCTTGCCCCTCTCCATCTTCCCCTTCCTCCGAGCCTCTCCTGTGTCCATAGTCCACTCTGCTCTGTTTAGGGTCAGCCTCGTGGGCAGAGGACACACACAGGGTCCCATCCCCATTGTCCCCCCACACACACTGTCGTACCCTGGCCAAGCCACGCACCCCCTCAAGGACCGTAGGTTCTCACAGGAACTCTCACCACCTCCGTTTGCTCTCAGTTCACGCGTGCAGGACGGAGAACCGCTTCTCTCCTTCCCTCCTCTCTTGCCTCTGCCTCTCTCTCCTCTATTTCCCTCCCTCCGTTTCTCTTCCCTGTCACCCTGTCTCTGTCCCCTTTCTCCTTTATATCAACCTTTCTACCTCCTCTCTCCCCTTCCTTCTCTCCCTTTCTTTCTCTCCTTGTCTTTTTCTTCTTCCCTTCTTTGCTGCCCTTCTCCCCACTTCTCTCTCCATCTTTCCCTTTTTCCCTCTCTCTCCTTTAATCCTTTTGTCTTCTCTCTTTTTTAAAACTAATTTTATTGAGAAACAAGTAGCAGTGAGACAGTTTCAAAACCGATGAATAGGACAGTTTCAATAATTAATACATTGTATTTTGTTGTCTTCTTAGTGGTTATTCATAGTACAAGATGCGGACATGATATCCTGTCCACAAACACTGTTAGTACAAATCTTCCTATTCACTGAATTAAGAGAATGTAGCTGTATATCTTTTCTAACTATTCTGAATATACAGA